TTATGTTTTTTATGTCATGCGCCCGACATAACGGTTATGGCTCTCCACAATTTCCTGTCTTTTATAGCTTTTAATAATATTTGTCCTGTTATTTCTTCTAATCCCTTTTCTGTCATCCATTAACTCATGCTTACTAAATATGTTATGCCTTATTTTACTCTGTCCGACTTACCTTCAATCTGTCCTCAGTGTACAGATTTTCCAAACCACCTTTCCTTATTATGTGCCATAGAAATTTCAACTGTTAATTTCTCATGTTAACTATAAGTTTCCATTTTGTTTCCAATTTCTCTAAAATATTGTCTTTACTCACATATCTGGTATATGTCATCCTCATCATCTTTCTCTTGCTTCACTGCTGAGTCTATGGCGTAACAGTTCAGTGATCTTTATCTGTGTAACTAGGCGTCCTCTTGCTTAAAATGGTTGAGAAACTCAACCATTTTTAAGCAAGAGGAGGCCTAGGTTAAAATGAAAATATGACGGAACACTTAACAATTTTTTTTTAAAAAAAGGTATAAATTTAAATGTTTTTAAATAAAGCAACAGATTTTTAAAAAATACACAACTAAATATGAACTTACTTTAATTCAATGTTTTTCTTTTCAACTATTTATACCGCTTATCTCGTGCGAAACCCGTACATGGATTTTTTACGCGATTTCTTCAATGTGTAGTCAAATGTGCGATGAACAGGCTCTTATTAATTCTTCAAGTAGGACGTAGTCTTTCTCGTTTCCTATATTTAAAGGTCGGAAACATTACTATCAAGCAGACGCGGAAGTTTAAATACCTGGGAAGCGTCTTGACAGAGAACGGTAAGTGCGACACTGAGATCCGTTGACGTATTGGGATGGCCAATGAGACATTACAAAAGCTGAGCAGAGTATTGCGAGACAGGAGGATTTTTTTTGAAAATGAATTGTTGGACGATTTCCTCAAAGATGAAGAATAGACTCGAGGTGAAAGAGTTGTGGTTCTACAGCAGGATGCTAAGGATAGCATAGACTGGGCCTGTGAGCAACGACGAGTTCTTAGAGAGGTTGCAAACAAGGAGAAAGCTTATATATAATATCAGGAAGAGGCAGTTAAATTTTGTGGGACACACAATAAGGAAGGAGGACCTGGAGAATCTGATACTCACGGGTCGAATAGAGGGAAAGACAAGAGAAAACAACGCGTGACATATCTGGCGGATTTAAGCAAGTGGATGACAGAACGTGGTCTGGGAGGCGGTGGGAGGCAAAGGGAAGGAACTTTTTGAGAGCTACAAGGGATACAGGGAGGTGGAGTGTGTTACAGTTTTTTGTGTATAATATGCATGTAACTAGTGAGTTAGTCAAAATGACTTAATTCCCTTTATAGTCTACCAATAGAAGATTAACCAATCAGAAGCCGCAGAACATTGTATCCGTCGTGTATAAAGGCGGCCATCTTTGTTTACCCTACCGGAATGACCAGAGCCAACTTGTCAGGCGAACATGCCAGAAGAAAGAACTACGCTCTGCTACGATATCCACCGCGAACCTGAACTACGCTTTCCTACTGTCTCCGAAATATTCACTGCCAACCTCTGGATTCTATACTCGAAGACGACCGTCATGAATTTGTAACAGAGTGCCCTGATCGTCTATATTCTGAAAGGACATAGCACATGAAAAGAAAGATTTTGATGTTGTTTTGGGTTTAGACGCCTAAATCACATAAACATATAGAAAATTTCCATAAAACAGATAAAGCCTTTTTTAAATGGAGGTAAAAAATAATATAATATAAAATAATAACGCAGTGACAATACTACTCTCTCTCTCTCTCTCAAGCACACACACACACACACATATATATATTAAAATACATATATATGTATTTTAATATATTTTCTGTTTATACATTATCTTCATGAATACAACTTATTTGAGTAAATGAACTGTTTTTTTTTTTAATTAAACGAACCTATATCCTAAATGGAATTGTCATTTAGTTTGACGTGCTGCTAACCGATTCAGCAAAAGAGGTCTTCCGATTTAGAAAAAACTGAAATTACTGCTTAGAAACACGGTGACGAAGAGATTGCAAATCAGACTCAATATAGCGCCGCTCACTCACATATTCCGTGGTGGAAAACTGCTAAGTTTCTCTGTAACCATAGGACTGTGCCCCCTGGAGCCACGACTACTATCACCAAGCCGCTCACTCTAGAGCATTAGAAGCCGGTTCAAGCAATGATATACACAGATAGAAATTATTAGGAGGATTTGATAATTATATTTAAGTAATTCATCGAGTCTGAAACCTTAACAGAATGCAAAAAGCACTGGATGGCCGTTTCGTCCTATATTTGGGACTTATCAGCAGTGCGCATCCACTACCGTGAATTGAAACCCTGGCAGTTATGTTGTCAAGAAAAGATCATACCATCACACGTGAGCTAGCGGCGCTATATTGAGTCTGTTTTGCAATCTCTTCGTTACCGAGACCCATTTGAACAGTTGGTATAATGTTTGCTTGACAACCTAATTGTCAGGGTTTCAATTCTCGGTAGTGGTTGCGCACTGCTGATGAGTCCCAAATATAGGACGAAACGGCCGTCCAGTGCTTTCTGCATTCTGTTGAGGTTTCAGATTCGATGAATTACATAAATATAATTATCAAATACTCTTAATTATATATATATGTATATTATTTCGCGGCATACTTCATGAGATCTTGCGGTTTACTAATAACTAATATGCTGCGATACGGCGGTTGAGAATCTCTGGACGAACATATAACCACATTTCCGTCCATCAACTTTAAAGAGTTTCTTCATCGGTCTGAATTTTTTCCTGCACCCCGACTTATCAACTTGTCTAGGTCAGTTATTTAAGATTCTATAAATATTTCTGTTTGTGTATCAGCATCTGCACGTGTATCGATTGTATGTTCGATGACATATTGTACGAATATTTTGCATATGATAAAAGAATAATTTTAATATTAGTCGATGAATAAACAATGAGGGTTATGCAGATTTTAAGGCCTTTATCGTGTTTTATGATTCATGTTTGGTCTTATCGTCAGCTTCTTGCTGAAAATAATCAGAAATTACAATCAGAAAAATGAATTAATTATTTTTCTCTTAGATAACTTTATGCACTTTTCTTCTGTTCAGTGATTCTATCATTCAAGCATCTGTTTTCATCCAACCAAAACACATTTATCTCGGCAAATATTTATTTTGCTTTTCTATTTTGCTTCGCATTTACCCCGGGCGTTTTATCAGTAATTAAATGATAATTAATTAGTGTTTATAAGTATGTCTTCATTTTTATATTTTATCTATATTTGAATTTCTCTCTCTCTCTATCCCTCTCTCTGTCATTCTTTGTCAGTATCACAAGATTTAAGTTAATCTCATTTTATCGTATTTATCCTTGCTTCATAATCTATCTGAATATAGATACATATAGATGTGTGCGTATGTGCATGTGTGTACTTTCTGTCTGCTCTCTCGCTTTCACTCTATCTCTCTCTGTATATATATTATATTATATATATTATATATTATATTATATTATAAAATATATATTATATTATATATTTTGTAGATACAAATATTTAAGTAAATGCTCTGTTTATGATAAACAGTATTAACAATATTTACCGGCCTGAATGTCCGAGAAATTTCCATAGAAAATATGCGTCCTCCGACAGGAATCGAACCTGTATCCTAAACTATAAATAGATCGTATAAACATAAAAATGACTTATAAATAATTATCAGACTTTGTCCATTTCATAATATATATATATATATATATATATATATATATATATATATATATATATATATATATATATATATATATATATATATATATATATATATATATATATATGTATGTATGTATATGTATGTATGTGTATGTATGTGTGTGTGTGTGTGAGAGAGAGAGAGGGATATATAGAGAGAAGATTCTGATTATATATATATATATATGTTTCATTACAGACGGCTAACAAGATACTGCTAATAAACATGTTATTCGATATTTTTTTGCATTTGTGTTATGGTAATTTACCCACGCCCGCATGGACTCTCCCGGCTATAAATAGGAGCAGGTACTGCCTTTTGGAGATGGAAGTTTCCAGCAGTCAGCTCTGACTGCCGGACCGAACATTCTTGCTGTAACACTCTCGTTTGTATGTGTTTGTATTACTGATTCTGTTCATATATTTATTTAGCTCAATTCCTTTCTTTTGTCTTTATTACTGGCCCTAACAAGGCCACAGCAATCCGCAAAAGTATTTTCTTTTTGGAAAATAGAGTAAAAACTATTCTGTTAACCACTATCAATGAAGTTTTTATAACTGATTGTGTAGATTTTTATATATTGTATCTATAATTATGGGAATGTGCTTTTATTTTCCAAAAACTGTCAGCACGTTATGTTCGTTTTCATAGTTGATATGTTGTCTTTTTCTTTTAATTATTAATGCTTCCATTAGTTTTCGCCATTTTTACATGTAAATGAGGTTATTATCGTCGTGCTTTCTACAATTGCTTTGCGGGTGGAGCTTCGTATGTTTCCTTTCGTGGCTCCTAACTGAACTATGATCTAAAAAATGTAACATTAATGAATTTGGTTTGATCAGAAACGAAGTTACTTAAGGGGAATGTAAATTAATAATATGATATTGATCCTTTGAAATTTGGATTTTGAAGGCTAGTTGTTGAGAATGAGATTAGCTGTTTCATTTTTTTAATACTTAATAATTTAATTTTATTGTTCTGATCAACTTGGGTTGTACATTTCTTTATAATGTGAAGGGACATTCTCTTTGCTTATTATCAACGTGGAGCGTTTTCTTTTTTATAGAAAATGTTGATGTTATTTTTTTTAGCTGTATGCTCAAAGATGCTGTAGAAATGTAGATGCTTTTAGAAATAAATAAATCTAATTCGCCTGCAAGATCCAAATTACAGAGGACCTATATTATTTATGAACATACGTAACCCT